CCTTCTGGAGAGACTGCGGTGTGTGTTGACGGGGACTCTTACCAGCCCCTCGCCACTTTTGCTGCTGAGCCGGGCTCCGGTCTCTACACTCTTCACACTGGCCCGCGCGCTCAGCAGCGACTGCAGCAGCAGCAGCAGCCGCAGCAGCAGCCGCAGCCGCAGCCACAGCGGCCGCCGTCGCAGCAGCCACTCCTCCCAGTTCCTGTCCCTCCCCCTAGTCTCCTCCCTGCGTCTCACCAGGTGGTTACGTCCCCTCAGGTTGTCGCGTCCAGTCCAGTCGCTGCGTCTTGCTCCTGTCGGTCGCTTGCCCACCCCACCGTTCTGTGGCACCACCGGATGGGACACCCTTCTCTTCCACGTCTGCGTGCTATGTCTAGTCAGCGTCTGGTCTTAGGTCTCCCGCGTGTCTTGCCGTCGCTGCCGCCGTCCCTTGCACCACCGTGCGGTCCTTGCGTCGAGGGTAGGCTGCGTGCCACCCCTCACTCCTCCTCCCTTCGTCCGGCCACCGAGCCTTTTGAGACGCTGCACTTGGACGTCTGGGGCCCCTCTCCTCGCCCTGGCCCTGAGCGTGAGCGTTTCTTTTTGGTGGTCGTTGACGACTACTCCCGCTACACCACAGTGTTCCCCCTGGCGAGGAAGTCTGAGGTGACTTCTACGCTGATCAGGTGGTTGCTTACCACCCAGGACACTCGTGGTCGTCGTGTCAGCTGTCTCCACTCCGACCGCGGGGGCGAGTTTCGCTCCGGCATTCTCGCTGGATTCTGTCGCGAACAGGGCATTCGTCAGTCCTGGACGCTTCCGGAGTCCCCACAGCAGAATGGGGTTGCTGAGCGTCGCATAGGCCTGGTCATGGAGATTGCCCGCACCTCCTTGACTCACGCCCGTGCCCCCCATTTCCTGTGGCCATACGCGGTCAGGTACGCCGCGCACCAGCTGAACCTCTGGCCACGCGTCTCTCGGCCGGAGGCTTCACCGACCAGTCTTTGGACAGGGTCCCCTGGTGTCGCGTCGAGGTTTCGTGTCTGGGGGTGCTTGGCTCTTGTCCGCGACACCTCCGCGGACAAGCTCTCGCCTCGCGCCGTTCCTTGTGTCTTCCTTGGTTTCCCTGAGGACTCCTCTGACTTCACCTTTTACCACCCTCCCTCTCACCGGTTCTTTGACTCCCGTGACGTCCGTTTCGAGGAGTCCACCCCCTACTACGTCAGGTACCCCAGTCGAGGTCTCCCGGTCCCTCCCCCCCCTCTCTTCCTGACCGCCGCTCCCCCGCCTGCTCCCCCGGTACAGCCTCCCCCCCCTGGTCCAGCCCCGTCTGGTGTGTCTCAGGCTAGCCCTCCCCCTTCGGTAGCCCCCCCTGTACAGCCTCCCTCCCCACAGTCTTCCTCGCCGCCTCCTGCAGGTGCTCCCTCTCGAGAGGTTGGTCCTGCGACTGTCCCTGTACAGGTCTCTGGTTCTGGGGGTGCTGGAGTTGGAGCTGAGCCGCGGGTTGCAGAGGACTCTTGTCTTCCGGGGGCTGGTACTGGTCGTGCGGAGTCTGGGGGTGCTGGTGCGGAGTCTGGGGGTGCTGCGTCTGGGGGTGAGGGTGTCCCTTCGGTTTCTGGAGAGCCTGGGTCTGGAGCTGGTGTTGGTGCTGCCTCTGGGGGTGGTGTGCTTGGTGCTTCGGAGGTCGACTCTGGGGCTGCCGCTGCCCCGGACACTACTCCTTCCCCCCACCCCTACCCGACCAGGTTCCAGGCTCGTGTTCGCCGTGCTCGTGAGGAGCAGCTGGAGTTGGAGAGAGAGGAGAGAGAGTTGCAGCGGCTCGAGGAGCAGGAGCGACAGCAGCAGGAGCAGCAGCAGGAGCAGCAGCAGGGGCAGCAGCCGCTGGAGCAGCAGCAGCCGCAGCAGCCGCAGCAGCAGCAGCAGCAGCTGCTGCCGTCTCCTCCTCCTGTCTCGGGTCTTCGGACCCTTGGTCTCCCCTCTCCCTCTCCTTCCTCCTCCCCCTCTCCTCCCGTCTCTGGTCCTCCGCTTCCTCCTCCTGACCCCTCTCCCGCTGTTTTCCCTCGTTCTCAGTCTTCGTTGTCTCCTCCTCCTTCTCAGACTTGGGCCTCTCGTCGCTCCCCTCGTGCTCGTCCCTCGTCTCCTGTTCCCTTCACTGACCTTCGTACAGCCTTCCTTTGTTCTCGTCCACCTCGTCCGTCTCCGTCTGTGCTTCCGTCTCCTCCTGAGTCGGCCCTCACTGTGTCGCTTCCTTCTCCTGTCACTGACTACTACCGCACGTACCGTCCTGTTCTCTCTCGTGTTCTCGCCTCTCTTGTTACCCACCCTCGTGCCTCTGTGTCCTCTGTGTCCGCTCTTACTGCCGCAGTCACTGAGTTTGCCTCTACCCGCCGCCTTGACTTCGCCACCGCTCTTGTGGCTGCTCCTCCTTCCAGTCCTCTGGCCGTCGGGGGTGTGTCTGCCCTTGGCTGTGACGCCCTAGAGGACAGGCAGTTTGAGCTAGAGTTCCTGGCGGCCGCTTCCCCTCATCTCTGTGCCATGCTCCTCGCCCCTGAGGGTGACCCCGACGCCCTTGACATTCCGACTCCTCGCACTTACGCTGAGGCAGTGTCAGGGCCTTGGGCCTCTCAGTGGAGAGCTGCCATGGACGCAGAGATGGCCTCCTACAGATCCACAGGCACCTACGTCGATGAGGTTCCCCCTCCGGGGGCGAACGTAGTCGACGGCATGTGGATCTACAGGGTGAAGCGGCCACCGGGATCTCCTCCGGTCTTCAAGGCGCGCTACGTGGCTAGAGGTTTCAGTCAGCGCGAGGGAGTTGACTTCTTTCAGACCTTCGCGCCCACCCCGAAGATGACCACTCTTCGGGTGTTACTACACGTAGCAGCACAGAGAGACTACGAGTTACACTCTCTCGACTTCTCTACTGCTTTCCTTCAGGGCAGTCTTCACGAGGAGGTCTGGTTGCGTCGTCCCTCTGCCTTCACTGGCTCTTTCCCTCCTGGGACCCAGTGGAGGCTGAGGCGACCGGTTTACGGTCTTCGTCAGGCTCCTCGTGAGTGGCACGACACCCTGCGTTCTACCCTGTCTGACCTTGGGTTCCAGCCGTCTTCTGCTGACCCGTCGCTGTTCGTTCGTCGTGGCCCCACACCTTTCTTTGTTCTGGTCTACGTTGACGACCTTGTTTTCGCCACCCCTGACAGGGTTGCTTTGGCACACGTGAAGTCCGAACTGCAGAAGAGACACACCTGCACTGATCTTGGTGAGCTGCGCCACTACCTTGGCCTGCAGATCACCAGGGACAGAGCTGCTCGCACCATTACACTTTCACAGTCGCACATGGTGCAGCAGGTCCTTCAGCGGTTCGGGCTTCAGCACTCCACAGTACAGCGCACACCTCTTGCTGTTGACCACAGACTCACTGGACCCTTTCCTGACGAGCCGTTCGAGCCTAGTGGTCCCTACGCAGAGCTTGTGGGTTGCCTCATGTACCTGATGACTTGTACTCGCCCGGACCTCGCCTTCCCTCTCAGCGTTCTTGCGCGCTTTGTTGCGCCAGGGAGACACCGTCCTGTTCACTGGACAGCAGCTGTGAGGGTGGCGAAGTACCTAGCGACGACATCAGGCGTGGGGCTAGTTCTTGGAGGGCAGCAGTCTGTCGTACTTACTGGTCACTGTGACTCCTCTTACGCTGACGACGCTGAGACTCACAGGTCTACTCAGGGGTACTGTTTCAGCCTGGGTTCTGGAGCTGTTTCCTGGCGGTCCACGCGCTCCTCTTCTGTCTCGACCTCTACAGCTGAGGCTGAGATCTACGCTGGTGCCATGGCGGCACAGGAGCTGCGTTGGTTGACCTTCTTGCTCACCGACCTTGGTGAGCGGCCGAGCTCTGCACCGACCTTGTTCACTGACAACAAGGCGTCTATTCTCCTTTGTCGAGAGCCACGACTGGAGAGCAGAGTGAAGCACATTCACGTCAGGTACTTTCTTCTGCGAGAGTTGCAGAGGCGTGGACAGGCTCGCTTTGAGTTTGTGGAGTCCGAGGCCAACACTGCAGACATCTTCACCAAGGCGCTTCCGCCTTGTGACCACCAGAGGTGCTGTGTGCAGTTAGGCCTTGTTGACACTGGTTCTCGTGTTGCTTAGACTTGAGTGTACTGTTTACTTTGCTTTCCATATATATCTGTTACTTCTTGGACTGGCCTTGTGGCCACTGTTGTTTGTGCTCAGACTGTGTGGTGACGTTGTGATCCACCCTGAGCTTCGTTTCTTGGACTGGTCTTGTGACCGTACTCGTTTGGTTCTGCTAGACACCCCTCACTTAGGCTATGGGGGTGTGTCAAATGTTGTAGCCTATAGGGGGTACAAAACTTAGGGTTAGCTATATGTACCCCAACCAACATCAATGCATCATCAATTCTTCATTCTGACAGTACATGCCGAGGTTAGGGAAGGCACTAATGGCACAAGGAGGATGACAGGCAGTTGCTGCAGACTATGGATCAAACTGCGTTACAAAAACCTTCTGAGAGAGAGAGAGGAGACGGGCCCGAGAGGGAGGAGACGGGCCCGAGAGGGAGTGGAAACAACAAGTGATTGTGCGGCGATAGGCCAAAGCATTCATGGGTCAGAAGGCAATAGTAGTGCTGTTGGGGTATGGGGTAGTTGATGTGTGAACAAAGTTATTCTCTGTTATATATTGTTTGATGACCCCTATCCATATGGTTTAAAACATACTAATGTATTGTCAGATTTTACGTATGACAACGAATGTAATAAGCAAAAAACGATAAACATTTGCGAAGCGTTCTGTAAAGTGATCCGAGTTCAGCGCCGTGGGCCAAACAAAACCCTCAACCTTGTCCCCCTGCTCTCCCTCCTTTCCCCAAAATGCTTTCATTACACAAACCTTCCGCGATTGTAACTGAATTTCGTGATTTTGACCTAACAGCGACGATCAACGGCACTTGTGACGGAATTGAAGAGAACGGGCTGTAGCGAAAAAAGATAGCGTGGTGACGAGCATGGAGGTGGTAACTGATGAAGGCGTGTTTGGGGGAGGTACGACTGTGGGAGGTGCGACGGGAGAAGGTGCGACTGTTGCAGGTGCGACGGGGGAAGGTGCGACTGAGGTAGGTACTTCTCGAAACGGTGCTCCGAGTGAAACCGTAACGACGGTGTCACAGGATTTTCCCGCCGAGTTGACAATGTGCGATGTGACTGTAGGCGACGCGGTTGAGGGCGGTTCCGGTTCGGCGCAGAAAAGGGAGGCAGGCGATTGTAGCGAAGGGAACGGAGCGCGCGACAGTATCGAAGTGAGGGAAATAAGTGCGTGTAAGGAGAGCGCGGCGGTGAAAGGAGGGATAGAGGGTAGCGACGCGAAGGGAGTGAGCCGTGCGGAGGAAAAGGGAACGGAGGGAGTGATTAAGGAGGAGGAAGAAGGGGTAAGGGAAAAGGATGGCGAGACTGGGGCGAAGGAGAAAGAGAGTAGAGAGGAGGAGGGGAAGTTGGGGATGGTGGAGGAGGAGGAGGGTAGGGTGAAGGCAGGAGAGTTAGAGTTTGGGGCAGGAGAGGCAGGCTTTAAGGCAGGAGAGGCAGGCTTCAAAGCAGGAGAGGCGGAGATTAAGGAGGATGGGAAGGAGGAGGCTAGGGACATGGATCATGAAGGGGTTAAGTGGAAGGAGGAGGAGATGATGGGCGGAGAAGAAGAGAAGGAGGAGGTGAAGGGGAAAGATGTGGACGATTTTACTTTTGAGGCGCCTCAAAGGGCTAGGGACATGGATCATGAAGGTGTTAACGAGAAGGAGGAGGAGATGATGGGCGGAGAACAAGAGGAGGAGGAGGTGAAGGGGAAAGAGGTGAAAGAAGGTGGAATGGGGGTGATGCAGGAGAAGAAAGAGGAGGAGATGATGGGCGGAGAAGAGGAAAAGGAGGAGGTGAAGGGGAAAGAGGTGAAAGAGGGTGGGGTGGTGATGCAGAAGAACAACGAGGATGGGAAAGAAGAGGCTCGGGTCATGGATCATGAAGGCGTTAACGGGAAGGAGGAGGAGATGATAGGAGGAGAAGAAGAAATGAAGGACGTGAAGGGGAAGGACGTGGAAGGGGGTGGGGTGGTGATGCAGGAGAAGAAAGAGGATAGTGAGGAAGAGGAGGAGGAGAGTGAGGAAGAGGAAGAAAGTGAGGAGGATGAGACTGAAGCAGAGGAGGAGAGTGAGGAGGAGGAAGAGAGTGAGGAGGAAGAGAGCGAGGAGGAAGATGAGGAAACAGCAGAGGACGGGGATGAAGCAGAGGAGGAGGAGGGGGAGGAGGAAGAGGAAGAATTACGCAATGGCATATTGATAGAGGAAGAGGAGGAGGAACTAGAGAGGCTTGAGGGGCACTCGGGGGACACAGGGGAGCCGGTGAGTGGCTTGGTTGGTGACTGGCAGGCAGGAATTAAGGCAGGGGTTAAGGCAGTAGGGTTTGACCAGGGTGTGGCTTGAACGGCGCTTGAGGGGCATGTAGGAGACGCATGGGAGCTGGTGAGTGGCTTGGGGGTGACTGGCAGGCAGGGGTTAAGGCAGGGGTTAAGGCAGTAGGTTTTGACCAGGGTGGGGCTTGACGGCGCTAGAGGGGCATGTAGGAGACGCATGGGAGCCGGTGAGTGGCTTGGTTGTCAGGACTAGGTGTTGGGTTCATCCGTCATGCGAGTGAGGGTTTTGCGGGGTTTAAGGCGTTGGTTGGGACGTCCCGACAGAGGCTTGAGGGCGCGTGGAGGACATGGGGGAGCTGGTGCGTGCTTGTTAGGGTTTACCCTAGCAGCGTGGGGTTTAAGTCGGGGTTCGTCTTATGAGCAAGAGATTTAAGGCGTTCTGGTTTTCTTTAGACTGATTTCAGGCCGATCAAGTTTGCTAAGCACTGAGTTTCAGGCATTAGGAATCACTTAGCATGGGTTCCGAGGAGTACGGGTTTAAAAAGCATTCGGGTTTGCTTAGCACGGGTCAAAAAGCATTCGGGTTTGCTTAGCATGGTTGTTAAGGCATTAGGGTTTTCTTAGCACGGGTGTTCAGGCATGGGTGTTTGCTTAACACGGGTTTAGGGTTCAACTTGGTTGGCCTTGACATCAGGTGGGGGGTTTGGGAAACTTGATGAGCCACTTGGGCTAGGGTTCAACAAGGCTAAGAGCTGTGTTTTATCAGCTAACAAGGGCGCATATATTCTGGGGTTCAGGGTTTAGGGTTTGGGTTGGGACGCCTCGACAGAGATATTTGAGAAGGTGTACATGCGAGACATCGGAAAGCGCTTGAGTCACTGAGTGAGCCGCTATGGTTTTTACCCATCATGCTCAGTGTTTTCAGGCGCAAGGGTTTTGGCTTATTAGTCGTGAGGGCGAGGTTAAACTTATGGGGTTTCTCAAGAGCGAGGATTTGTGGGGCAGGGCATTAGACCCATTAGACCCTGACATGCCCTCCATGTCAGGGTCTCCCATCCCACCCCGGACGGTTGGCATCGCCAGGGCTGAACTTGCAGTAAGCCACCAAGATTGTTCCCCCAACTGCCAATGCATGCCCCTACCCTGTTCCCATCCTTCCCCACCTTTCCATCTCGTCTCTCCCATTCCCCACATGGGTGCCTCACATGCTCTCGTCTCTCCTATTCCCCCCCATTCCGCACCACGCCTCCCATATCAAATCAGGGCCTGCCACCTGTCACGATTCCCGACGTCAAGGTGGAAGACTCGGACGAGCTGCTGCCACTGGGCCACGTGTCAGCTGTAAGTGTGTGCCACGTGTCGCCTGTGAGGTGTGCCACATGGCAACCATGTGCCAGCCACGTGTCAGCTCAAACTATCTTCTCTCCAGATCAGCATCCAACGTGCTGCTCACGGCATGACGAGTAGCAGAAGCAGTCCACTTTATCAGTTGAACAATCTTCTCTACCGAACGAACCATCTTCCAGTTACTCTACTGATGCAGGAATCTCATCCTGTGAAACCCTCTTTTCCATGAAACCTGCAGAGATGTAGTCCTTTTTGTTAGTCCATCCATCACCGTTACTTTTCCCACATGTAACCCATCCACCGCTACCACAGATTGTCGACACCTTAGTTGTTGTGGATGAGATGAGAGTTTCAGCCTGTTGAAAGCGCCGCTGCGCCGTATGCGCTTGCACCCCTTCTTTTTCAGTTGTTGTGGAGGAGATGTTCAGTTCAGCCCCTTACTCTACCCACGTGTGACCCCTACCTTGTGCCGCACAGATCGTTGAGTCATGCTTTTGAGTCGACTCAAAAGCAAAAATTTCAGTTCAGCCTCTTACTTATCCCACATGTGACCCCTGCCGTGTGCCGCGCAGATCGTTGAGTCATCAGTTTTGGTTCAAGCAGACTCCTCTGCCCGTGCTCTAGAGGAAGGACCGTTGCTGTTGTTGTCTGACCACCGCTGCCAGTTGCAGGTTGCAGACGAGATTATTCTGTTAATTTTTATTAATCCATCACCTTTACTTCTCCGACGTGGAACCCCTGCTGCTACCACAGATCGTTGAAACATCGGTGGAGATTCAAGCAGACCCCTCTGCCCGCACGCAAGAGGAAGGGCCTCTGCTCTTCCTGTTTGAGGATTTCTGCCCCTTGGGCTTTGTGGACAAGATTTGTCGTGTGCCATAGTAACGAGGTGACTTTTGAGTCGACTCAAAAGTCACCTCATTTCTGCCCCTTGGGCTCTGTGGACAAGATTTTTTCGGTCCTTTTTGTGAATTCATCACTCCCATTTTACCCACTGGTAACCCCACTGGCTCCACAGATTGTTGAAACGTCAGTGGTGGTTCAAGCTGACCCCTCTGCCCGTGCTCTAGATGAGGGATCCCTGCTCTTCCTGTCTGACCACCGCTGCCTGTTGGGTGTTGTGGATGAGATTTTCAGGCCGGTGAAAGCACCGCTGTATTGCGTGCGGTTCAGTCCCTTCCTCTGCCCATGTGTGGCCCCTCTTTCTTCCACTGACCGCAGATTGTTGAAACATCAGTGGTGGTTCAAGCAGACCCCTCTGCCCGCGCTCTAGACGAGGGATCCCTGCTGTTCCTGTCTGACCATCGCTGCCTCCTAGGGGTAGTGGATGAGATTTTTGGGCCGGTGAAAGCGCCGCTGTACCGCGTGCGGTTCAACACGAGAGAAGAGGTGCCTGCGCTGGCGACTGTGGGTGTAGCGGTGAGCTTTATAGAGAGGATGGCTGGGTACGTGCTGGATGATGCGGCTTTGAGGGCCAAGGGGTATGATGTGGGGGAGGATGAGGAGGAGGAGGGGAGTGAGGAGGGGAGTGAGGAGGAAGAGGGTGAGGGTGGGGTGAAGAAGGGAGGGAGAGGAAAGGGAGGTGGGAAGGGAGGAGGGAGAGGAGGAGAAGGGGGTGTGGGATGGGAAGGGGGGGATGCAGAGGCAATGTTTAGTGATGATGAGAAGGAGGAGGAGTGGAGGCGGGAGCAGCGGAGGAGCAAGAGGAAGGGCGGGGAGGAGGAGGAAGGGCGGGGGAGACGAGGAAGGGGAGAGCGAGGGAGAGGGAGGGGGAGGGGAAGGGGAGGTTGGGATGGAGATGGCGGGAGGGGGAGAGGGAGGGGAGGAGGATGGGGAGGGGGAAAGGGAGGGGGTGGGATGGACCAGGTGGGTTCGAGGGAGGAAGAGGAGGGAGAGGGAGGGGAGACAGAGGGAGAGGGGAGAGGGGAGAGGTGAGGGAGGGAGAGGAGGGAGAGGAGGGAGAGGAGGGAGCGGATGGCAGGGGCAAGGAAGAGGGCAAGGAAGCGGTCAAGGCAGAGGGTGGGAGGGCGGAAACCAGCAGTGGCAGCAGGGCAGTGGGGCCTTCCCCCAGCAGGCTGGTGGTGGCGCCTTCGCACAACAGGGCGCCGGGGGGGCTTCTCCTATGATGATGAACCAGCCCCCTCCCATGCCCTCGTATGCCCCACATGCACCGTTACCAGCATCAATCCCCATGGGTGTGGCCCCTCCGCCTTCGCCTTTCATGGCTGGTCCCCCGCCTCCTTTCATGCCTCGCCCTCAAATACCCATGCAGCAGCACATGCCTCCGCACATGCAGCAACCCATGCAGCAACCCATGCAGCAACCCATGCAGCAACCCATGCAGCAACCCATGCAGCAGCCATGTTTCGGGTATCAGCAACAGCCCCCTTCGTTTCAGCAGCCCTTACAATCAGCTCACGCCCCTCCATTTCAGCAGCAGCAGCAGCAGCAGTTTCAGCAGTTGCCTTTCCCACCCCAGGGGCAGTACCAGCAGGGCTTTCAGCAACCTCCACCAATTCACCAACAACAGCAGTGGCAGCAGCCGCATCAGCAACAGCAGCAGGCATACCAGCAACAACAACAACCACAACCAGTGCAATACCAGCAGCTGCAGCAGCAGCAGCAGCAGCAGCAGCAGCAACAACCACAACCATTGCTGTACCAGCAGCAGCAGCCACAGCAGCAGCCATACCAGCAGCAGCAGTGGCAGCAGCAACAACCACAGCAGCAGCAAGCAACATGGACAGGCAACAATGGCCCAGCAGCCTTCCATGCTCAACCCAGCCAGCCGCAGCAATGGCCCACTCAACCCATGCAACCTATTCAGCCCATGCAGCGTATGATGCCACCCCCAAGTGTCTATGGTCCACCGGGAACAAATGGGAATGAGGCACAGCCTCGACCCCCTGGGATGGAGTGAGCCCTTCACACCATGGCCTTGGGGCATTTGACACACACGAAATGTCGGTTCTCTTATTCTCACATACCGTACAAGTGCAGGAATTTTAAGAGGTCTTGTTACTCATGTACTTCAAATCTAGTCTGTCTAAAGATCCTCGAAGCTTTTCTCAACCCAACGCACCAAAAAGCCCAAAAACATGAAGAACAAGAAGAAGCAGAAACTAGCTGCATTGTGGCGGAGGTAGTCAATCCACCACCACTCTGCCATCCTGCCTAGAACTCCAATCAGCTTCGCCTCTTTCAGTCTGGGCAGCCAACAGAGTGATTCGGGCAGAGAGTTCAGCTTTGGCAAATGACACAGCTCCAGCGTTTCAAGGTTGTTCAGTTGCCCGAGTGACTCGGGCAGCACAGATAAATCTCCCAAGTATTCGAGCTTTAAAAGCCTGAGGTTTTCCAGCTGTCCGAGCGATTCTGGGAGGTTGCAGAGGCCGCGCATGCGGGCGAGGGTGAGGGAAGAGAGGGCAGAGAGCGTGGAAATTGCATCAGGGAGAGAGGAGCCTTGAGAGCATCTAGACAGCGAGAGGCTCGTGAGGGACGCCAGGCCCCACGGCTGCTGTGCGGTGCGCTGCTGCGTGCTGTAATGTGCCTGTGGCTGTGGCCATGGGGGATGCGGAGCAAACAATGGCTGCAGGGACTCGAGGCGAGGGCAGGAGGTGATTTCGAGCTCTTTCAGGCGCGCCAACATGCCCAGCTGGGGGGGCAGCCGCCACAGTTCCCTGCAGTCGCGCAAGAAAAGCCGCTCCAGGCTGTGTCTCACCCTCC